AAACCGAGGCCAGGACGGGTGGGCGGCCTGTCCGTGGCCACTCCCTAGTCCTGAGCGTGGCTGGATGAGCCCCTGGGCTGCCTCTTACCACCTTGGTCTTCCCTGTCCTTGTTTTTCCTGTTCACATTCAATGGCACAGAGTTTAATCTGTTCCTTGAACCTCATTATGAAAGTTTTACACTGGGAATGTGTTCTAGCCAGGCTTGGTGCCATGTGGGCTACCCAAGAAAGTCAGAGTGACACTGGATGGAGGAAGGACTTCCTCTGGAAGGGCTACCAGATGGCAGCAGGCATCTCTTCTAGAACAGCCCGGGGCTTCGCTCTCACAGTGTAGACTGTCCATCAAACCGCCCCTTGTGAAGGCTTGCTGGCTTTCACATCATGTGCACAGAGCGGAGTGGGGTGGGGGAGCCATCGTCGGGGGGTGCAGGTGGGCGTGAGCTGGGGTGAGCAGGGCGGGGCTGAGTGTAGGCGTGTCTGGGCACTGCTGGAACTAATCTCTGCACACGGTGGCTTCAGACAACACACACTTGTTGTCTTCAGGTTCTGGATGTTAGGAGTCCAAAATCAGGGGTGTGTTCCTTCTGGAGGCTTTAAGGAAGCACCTTCTCCTTGCCTCTCCCAGATTTCCAGAGGTTACACTCCTTGCCTTGCGGCCCCTTCCCCTGTCTTCAAAGCCGGCACGTAGCATCTTCAGATTTCTCTTTCCCCGACCTCTGCATCCTTGGTCATATCTTCTGGTACAGCCTCTGCCCCGCCTGCCTCCCTCTTTCCCTTAGAAAGGCCCTTGTGATTATTTTGAGCCTGACTGGATAATCCAGGATAATATCTCCATCTCAAGATCCTTATTTTAATCCCATCTGCAAAGTAACAGATTCTAGTGATTAGGATGTGGACACTTTGGGGGGCTGTTATACTGTCCACTAGACTGGTAGAGCACAAATCCCCCCATCCCTCCCCCCTCCCTCCCTCCTGTAACCTCTCCCTGCCTCCCCCACCCCCCACCCCATCCCTCCATCCCTGTCTCCCTCCAAACCTCCATCCATCCAGAGTTCTCACCCTGAACCCCCAAAACTCAAGGCCTGAAAAACCCCCAAAGCAGTTGGGGATTGCTTTGAAGGAATGTGTTTCTAGTGTACCTGGGTGAGCTTTGGAGACATGAACTAGAACATTCTATCAGAGAACGGGCCCTGAGGTCACCTTTCCTCGTGCTCCCGTGGAAGTGGGGCCCCTGATAGCAGAGCTGCCCTGAGGGCCCGTGATGAGGTGGCCCCTGAGAGTGACTCCGGAGACTGTGGCCGGGATGCCCCCCACCCCCAGCAGCGTGGCTCCCTAGCTAGGTTGGCACCTGTGGGAGGTCTGGGAGTGATGGGGACCAGCAGCCCTAAAGCCATCCATCAGTGAGCACTGACAGGCCGTCACCCATCCTGCTACTGAGCTGGGTCTCTGCCGGCGGCCCCCCGGGCCCTGGGGGTAGAGTGAAGCTTGCTTCCTCTCAGAGCTGCCTCGGCTTGCCTGTTCTCCCTGGAGCAGGTGCACCCCATCCTTACCTGGCCTTTCCTCAACCTTGCAAGCACACCTGCCAGAGAGAAGTGACGTGGCAGGAGCCCAGCTGCCCTGGGCGCCAGGCCAGCCCCGCTCCGAAGTTCTGGAGCAGGTTCACAAACTGCGGCCTGGGGACCGAATGTGCCCACCTCCTCTGTTTGTAAGTAAGGTTTATTGGAACGTGGCCTATTCTGCGTGGCACAGCCACCTCGGCAAGGTCTTGAGTGAGGGAACAAACCCGGGACGGTGGCCCCTCTGTGGCCTCTGCCTGCAGGGCTCCACGCACCGCGACGGTCTGTCCACACTTATGTTTGTGGCGTGCTGGGCCTGGAGGGGTCAGCGTGCTCAACTCTCAGGATGGCATTTGACATTCGGACAACGGCAGAACCAGCTCTGCTCTCCCGGGGCACCCACTGCAGCTGTTGGCCACCCGCCCCGCACAGGGAGACCGCGCGCCTTTGCTTGGTGCAGCTCAGAAACCAGACGCCGGGGTTGAGCGACCCTGGGACCTCTCTAGAGACAGCCACCGCTTCTAAAGCCACAACTTGCGAAACCAAATCTGAGTGAGCCGGTTGCTTGCTGGAATTTGCGGGACGAACTGCTCATTATTTTCTGCAGGAAACCGGGAACGGGGGCCTAATGGGTCCCCAAGGGCTCAGATGGCATTTTACGGAATGAAGCACCTGAAGGGTAAGGGAGGATTTGACCGGCTCAGAGCTCTTCGGATGCACACAGGGGGTTTTGGCCTTAGCTTCGGAAACATGACCCATGTGGCATCCTTGGCCTCCGTAGATGGGGGGATTTCGTCTTTTGGGGAGGGAAGGCGTGTCCTGTCTTCCCGTCCTCTGCGAAGTGCTTCCTGCATAGCAGACTGAAGGCACATGCCCGAGTTGAGCTGACCTTGGTGATTTACTGGGAGCCACCCACACATGGGAGCTGCTGCAGCCCCCCAAGCGTCTCAGCTGCATTCCTGGCCCTGGCAAAGGCTCGTGCCCCGGGGGGAAGACACTTCTGGGGTTGGGCAGCATGGATGGAATGTGGGCTTCTCTGCTGACCTGCTGTGTGACCTTGGGCAGGTCATTAACTCTCTCTGAGCCCTTGCTTCCCGTCTGCAAATTACGGATCGTGTGCACCCAGGGCTGGCACGTGCCCAAGAGCAGGGCTGTACTCTGAGCTTCTGCTTCAAGGGCTCGTTTCTACAAAAGGAGAGATCTGTGTGCCCCCCACTCAACTGAAGTTATGCTGCTGTGTGTCCCCTGACCCTTGTAGGTGGGACAGACACCATGTCCCTCTAAAGCACCGTGCGCTAACCTGGGTCCGGGTGCCAGAGCTTTGCCAGCATCCTCTGAGATGGGAAGGCCCGGTGTCCGAGCAAGGTTCCTGTCCTTGTGAGGCAGGGACCAGGCACTGTTCTCTGTGTCTTTGTCTCTTCTGTCCTCTCCTCTCTTGTCTGGGTTTTGCTTTGGCTTCTGGACTGACTGTTTTAGAGACGGGCTGCCCGCACCCTGCAGGGAGCTGATGGGCATTGCTTGGCCCTGCCCCTCTGCGGTTTCTGTCCCTGGGATCCCCTGAGCATCACGACCCTGACCAGAAGCATCAGGACAAGCCCCCGTGTAAACGAGTGTCCACAGCACACGGAGGAGGAAGCAGGCGGCCCCTCCACTGTGCCCAGAACTGGGCTGGGCGGAGCTCCTGGGCGGGAAGTAGGGCAACTCCATTTTGTATTTCTATAAGGGGACAAGTGCAAGGCTCTGCAGCCAAGGATGATTTGTTACATAAAGACAGAGCCGTGCCCGTGTGGGACACCCACAGACCCCACTCTAAGGGGATCCCCGGACCCCAGCACCAGACCGAGGTCCCCACTTCCAAGTGGGCGCGTGGACCTCTGTGAGTCCAGAAGTGGGACAGAGAGAGCTGACTTCTTCACTTTCCACTGTCACTTTTGTGATTCCCCTATATCCCAAATGTGTGTTTGTTGTTTCTGAAGAAAAGCAGGTTTCTGATATTAGAGAGGGCAGCGCCAAGCTGCATCTTGCCCCCTCTCGGCTGCCCGACCCTGTGCAGGCCCCGCACGGCAGGACCCCTCCCGGCCAGCCTGCCGCAGGTCCCCGTGGCCCAGGCCCCGGGGCGCCTGACGAGGGCCCCTGCACCAGGAGCTTGACCTTGCAGAGGAGAAGCCTCTGCTGTCCCCCAGCTTTTCCGTGTGTCTCTCCACCGAGGGGCAGACAGAGACTCTATGCTTTGGGGTCCTGGCCCCTCCCCGCCCTGGTCCCTGTTAGCTGACCTGGGTCACCTTCGTCCCGGGGGCAGGCATGTGAGCGCCTCCTCCAGACTGCACGTGTGCGTTGTTCCTCTACCCCTCTCCCACCTCGGTGACGGTCAACCCTCCCCAGGGACTGTCGCTGTCCGTAACGAGGCGGACCGCAGGGCCACAGCTTGCTGCCTCTCTCTTCTGTCTGAGGAAACTGGTCCTCGGGCACTCCCTGTCCAAATCGATGTGGCACCTGGTGACCGGCAGGAGTGGAGGTGTCTCATCTGTGAAAGATGAGTAGACCACTGGGCGAGAACTCCCCAGGCCCACGCAGGTGTGGGGGTGCGGGGAGCAGACAGCCAGAACAAGGGGCTCCATGGGGCGCTTCACTCGCCCCTTTAACCGTTGGGTGTGGGGGGGTCAAATACTTCGTTTGCATGATTGTGACCATTGGAGGGTCTGCTCTGAGGATGTTTCTCAGGAACTGAGAAAATGTTTCTGAATTAGGAGTCTTTCCCTGTGGGTCCAATTGCTTCTATTTTGTTTATAGCACATTGAACAGTCCCCTCGAAGAAAGATTAACATGGCTCTGTGTGGGGTGTATTTTCCTTTGACGCAGCTCCCGGATGGAGACTTGGCAGAAATTCCAGAGCAATTTGATGTGGCTGCAAAATGATAAACCCTTAATTATTAATTAATTAATGCTATTTCAATTATTTAATTATAAGGTAATGATATGTGAATAAATTTTACACAAAGAGTTTATATGAATATAAAGTATAAATAAATGAAAGAAGAATCATTTGATTAATAAAGGCACTTGCTTACCGTCATGGGGGTGGAGGCAGCATGGCGGGTGGCGTGGCCCTGGGTTAAGATCTGTTCACACTGGCTCTGGGGTCCTGGAGGAGGCACCTGCTTCCTCGTTCCACCAGGAGGTGGATTCCTCGTAGGCCAGATCACGCGTGTGCAGAGCTCGGAGCTGCTAAGGGGACCGTGAGAGGCAGCTGAGGAAGGATACCGAGGGGGCACATAGGAGGCTGACTTTCTCACCCAGAGCTCGGCATTTTATGCAACGCACGAAAAATCTTGCTTTTAGCCTTGGTTGTGTTGTTACTGTATTTACGGGTTTGTCCTTTCTGTGTGGGGGTCGAACCCACGAACCCCGCGATGGCTGGGAATGAATGTGATGTGGTTTCTGCAGGCTACAAGACCCTCCTGAAAGGGATTTCCGGGAAGTTCAACAGCGGGGAGCTGGTGGCCATCATGGGGCCCTCTGGGGCTGGGAAGTCCACGCTCATGAACATTCTGGCTGGGTACAGGTGAGTACAGCTGTGGTGGAGAACAGGGTTCTCACCCCGTTGTTAGCCTGGGGACAGCCACCGGAAAAGCGAGGCCACCCTCAGTCAGTCAGTCCTGTCACTTCTTAAGCTTCTGCACAGACTCCGGTGAGGCCTGTGGGGTTGAGCATTAAGAGGCTTTAGGATTGGGGCGCCTCGGTCGCTTAGTCGGTTCAGTATCTGACTCTTGATTTCAGCTCAGGTCATGATCTCAGGGTCGTGGGATCAAGACCCGCAGCAGGCTCTGTGCTCAGCGGGGAGTCTGCTGGAGATGCTCTCTGTCCCTCTCCCTGCTCTCTCTCAAAAAAAAAAAAGATTAAAAAAAAATGTAAGATGAGCAGCAGGAGAACCGTCAGGCAGGGGCCCGGGGCTCACGTGCTCTAGCCTGGGCCTGTGTTAGCCCCCCGACATCCTGCCCAGTGTCTCTCCTGGGAGAGCGGCTGGAAAGCTGAATCTTTCCAAGTGTTAAATTGCCCTCTTAGAGCCGCTGTCCTCGGTTCTCAGGCTCCCATTTGCCAACGTTAGCAAATACTGCTAATACTAATTTCATCTCCTGGAAAAAAAGACAAATATCACCGCTTTCCTTAGGACCTCTGAATTACTCTTTAATGCCAGAAATTAGGGTTTTTAAAAACCTCCCATATGACAAGTTTCTGTCTGTTGCATTTACATCGAAAGCTTGAAGCAGATGCCCAGCGTCATGGGGGTTTGTGGCAGGCATAGGGGGCGGACAGTTTCAGCCGCTGCCTGGCCGGGGGTGCTCGGGCAGCCTGGGGCCACTGACTGCTGCCTGGAGGTGCCTGGGCCGCGAGCCTGGCTCCCAGGGTAGCCAGGGGATCCCGGCCCATGCCCTGGAGGAACGAGCCCAAGGTTGCAGTACTGGCCAGGATGAAGCTGGAAACCAGACGGGATTGCACTGGCCTCCACAGCCCCTTGGTGTTTCTGTGCTCTGGGACATCTAGGAGGGAGGTCCTCAGGGGGATGCCTGTGGCTTCCTCCCCCTCCCCGGGGCTGAGATGACACACCGGGAGGGCATGGGGCAGCGCAGATGCACAGTGGGTCTGGGAGGGGGAGGGAGAGAGGGTGGCTGGCGTCTCCGGGGTGCACACACCATGCCCCAAACTATTGAGTGAGGGGACAACTTCCCCTGTGGAGAAGGAGCATCCCCTTGGCCGCAGGAGTGCAGGGCCCAGCCCCTCCTGTGAGCCACCTGTGCCCCGGGAGTCTACTCCTCTCGTGCCCTCAGGAACTGGTTCTGACTGACACCCTCGGCTGCAGAGTCCTGGCCTTTGGGGCCTTTGGTGTAGCCTTGGCTACTCACGAGGTCATTCGGAAGCCAATCTCACAAAGCTCAGCAGAGCCAGGGTGTCCCTCTGACCTGGGGGCCGCAGGTGGGAGCACCCATGAGTATCTCTGCTTATTAGCATCTGTTCCTTACGGGTTCAGTACCCCTTTCCCCTTTCATCCTGAGCATGTTCTCCATGCAGCTCCATCCTGCGTGTCCTGGTGCTGTTCTGGGTCCCCCCCCCCCCGCCCCGTCCCTTCTGGCCGCTTGGCGTCCCTGCCATAAACGGTCCAGCTGGGAAGCTGCTGGGAGGGGCCCCCTCCCTCCCCGAGGCCCTGGAGGAGGAGCTCACCGTGTGCTCTGTGGGCTTACAGGGAGACAGGCATGAAGGGCGCCATCCTCATCAACGGCCTGCCCCGGGACCTGCGCTGCTTCCGGAAGGTGTCCTGTTACATCATGCAGGACGACATGCTTCTGCCACACCTCACGGTGCAGGAGGCCATGATGGTGAGCCGCCCCCTCCCCCCCGCCCCCGCCTCGGCCCGCCCCGGCCCGGCCTCCCTCGTCCCCGTTAGACAGAGCAGTGCCCTCTGCGGGTCACCTGCACACTGGCAGGTGGGGCACCAGGCCTGCTGTTTGGACAGCCTCATCGAAAACAAAGTCCCCACACCCCAGGTTCTCATGGACTCTGGACGGCGAAATCACGGTCAAGTTTGTGAGAAGGTTATTGATCCATCTTCTGTGAGTGACCACCTAGAGGTGACCACAATCTTACCGCCCATGCACCATCAGCTGTCCTTACTTATTTGTGGCTCTCAGCCCGAGGTCCCCAATCTGGCACCTGGGTTGGGGCCCTGAGTGTTTGGTCCTCGGCCCCCCTGCCGGCCGGGGTCGGGGAAGCGGACCCAGCATCTGCTGCATCCCAGGCCCCGTAAGCACAAAGGCCCGGACAGTCACCAGGAGTGTGCCAGTGAGCTCGGGGCACCTGCACGACAGGGTCTGGAGCAGCCCGGGCATCGTGTGCTCGGGCTGCTAGCTTTTCTGCCTTCTCCTGGCCCACTGCAAAAGACCGTGCCCGGCCTCCCGGCCCTCCCCGTTCTCAGCTGCTCTGGCTCACGTCCCTGGTCAATAAACGGGCATTTGCCTTGGTTTCCCTGCCAAGAGAGGTCTTACCCTGTGCTTCTGACTTGGACGGGGCAAAGCTTCCTCTCTGCGGGGATGGAGAGTGGCTGCCCGGCCGTTTCATCTGAAGGGCTACTCCAGGGGGTTCTTATCTCAGCAAAGGGAAGCAGAGTAAGATGTCAGATACGCGATCTGCCCCCTAACCTGCTCTGCGGGTTTTCCTCATTCATGTCCCGGGGACTGAGTGTTCTGGAAGGGGGAGAACTCTGCACCGGGCTGGGCCTCACCAGCAGCCCCGTGTCTGGGGCCCCTAAGAGTGTATCCTGCCTCTACATGGCCATTCTGACCGCGGCACCGGGAGCTCAGGAGGAGTTCAAACGGAACAGCAAATTTAGAAAATTCAAGCTTTGCTGATCCCTGAAGGGTTACTTCACCGTTCTCTCAGGCGACCAGACTTGAGCTTCTCAGCCAGTTGAACTCAGCACTTGGTTACTTGGCGGAGAAACTTCCCTTTGGCTTCCAGCTCGATCATTGCTTTCTTGTGCAGACAAGATTGGTGACAGTCCCCAACCTGTCACCACGCTCTGCTGTGAAGTTCATTTTCAGAATGAAATTAGGTTTTGACCTTGGAGAGTTTTATGATGCCTTTGAAAATCACCTCTCGCTTGAGGGAATCCTGCCTTTTGGTTTTGAAGGTCCTGCCACACACAGGCCTAGGGATGACACCGGGCACCTGCACCCCGTCCCAGCCACATGTCAGAACAGCTGTGCGTTTCCACGTGTTGTCTCTGACCCTCAAGACCACCGGGCAGACCTCACAGTGACCCTGGGTGTTGCCCAGTGGGTGGCTGGCCCTGCAAGCCCCCCAGCTCACCGGCTGGAAAGTGTGCCCATGAGGAAACGGAGCAGTTCCCCCTTGTCCTTGTCCCCTGCAAGGCCTTGTCCCCCAAGGTCACCCCCAGAACGGGGCAGGCCAGAACCAGGGCCGATACTGGATGTTGATGGCCCCTCGGGGTCTCGCCAAGCACTGCCAGGGGCCCCTTGGTGTGCCAGCAAACAGGACCTCAAGCAAAACAAAACGACCACAAAACTGGAGTCCTCACATTTAGCACTGGCCGATTTCTGTGGTGTGAACACTCCACGGCAGATCATTTTAGTCTGTTGGTGCTTTAACAGGTGGCCCGTGGACTTCCTAGATATACAGCAGTGGTCTTCACTGATGCTTGGAGTGTGCCGGTTGGTCAGGTGCCCACACCTGCCTTCCCTCTGGGCACAGCAGAGAAGACATCTGACGTGACAGGAAGACTCCCGGACATGTACTGCGATCCTGGGCCCTGGGGGGTGGGAAGCCCAGACCTCCGAGCGGTGTCCTCTGTCATGTCAGAGTGAGGTGTGCCCTGCTGACCGCCATCTGTTCTGATCCCACCCCCGGCAGGTGTCCGCACATCTGAAGCTCCAGGAGAAGGACGAAGGCAGGAGGGAGATGGTGAGTGCACCCTTGAGCCACCGGTGGTCCCGAAAGTGCACGAAATCCATCTTGCAAACGCGTGGGGAGGGACTTTTGGGCACTGGCTTTGTTTGCTGGTTTGTTACCTAGATTTCTGTGCGGGGGACGGTGACATCTCAGTGTGTGCTCTGGCCTGGCAGCTGTGGGCCCAGGAGGGGCCTCCTTGCCACAAGACTACAGATCTCAGTGTGGCCACCAGCCTGCAAGGACGCAGCAGGGAAGCTCAGGTGGCCCGAGCACACCAGCCTGGACATTAGACCAAGCACTCGCTCTGCCCTGTTTAGTGCTCAATATGCTTTATACGCCATTGCTTTTTTTTTTTTTTTTTTTGTAAAACACTAACAATGAAGATGGTTAGTCATTCCCTTAAAAATAACCAGCCTCCACCCACACGCACGCACAAGAAGAAATTTGGTTCTTACACATTATTAAGAAGCCTTGAAAAGAAATCAAATAAACAAGTTTCCGGGATGCTGGAGACCTTCTAATCCTCTTCATGCCCCCTCCCTGGCTCCCCCAAAGCCCAGGGCCCAGGGAGGGTGCCGGGAAGCCCCACGCGGCCCCGTGCAGCAGGTGGGACCCTCTTATGTTTACATATCAACTGGGGGAAACTCAGTTTCCCTCCTCCGCTCCACGGTTGGCCTGGCGCTAGTGGGATTTCCACGCAAGAGTAGAGTTGGGTGAAATCCCACGCATGCGCGATACCATCTTGTCTTCTAAACCCTCGGAAGACAAGCGTCCGGCAGTGGAACGAGGAGGATCCGCAGGGTTAGCACCAGTGGTGCTACGTGCCTCTCTGCTGTAAATCGGAACGATGCGGTGAGTGCACTCAAGAAATATTAATAGCAATTCTATTTACTGCGTCAATTCCCTTTCCTGTGGCGCATAATAGTTAATGTGACGTAAATGTGTCATGAAGACCACGCCGGGCATCCTCTCCCCCGTGGCCCCATAGCTGGCCACCACCCTTCAGAACCCTCAGGATCAACCCGGGAGTCCGGGGTCAGCCGCCCTGCACAGGCGGGAGAGGGGCACATGAGCCCTGTGCTGTTGGGGTGTTTCCTGGGAGCTTTTATTCTGAGGTCCAAAGGGATGAAATGGATTACTGGAACCCAGACGTGGCAGGTGTGGGGACCACGCCATCGGGTGGCCGGTCAGCGTCTTGGGGAGGCCACGGGAGCCCACTCTGCCTGCTCTAGCAGAAGGGACAAGGGCGAGACCGCCTTCTTGGTAGGGCGAGGAGGTATCTCTCACGGGCCACGCCCACGTGCACGTCCTCCGTGTGCCTGGCCTAAGACTCAGACATGAAGGCAGCCGTGCGCTGTTCTCAGCTGGGTTTATAAGAGCAAAGACGTCAAGTCAGTGAGGGTCTTCTCGGCCAACTGCGTGACCAGATTCATCTGCTGCTGGATTGAACAAGGTGGTGAGCCTTCCTTGTGGGGCCTGGAGCTGGTCCTGGGTCCTGCACATGCTTCTCACTGGAAGCCCCCATTCCAGTCCTCAGCCAAGTGTAGGGCCCGCCTCTCCCAAGAAAGCATCCGCAGGATTGTGTGGTTATTTCAAGGATGAAACAGCGGCCGAGTGCCTGCCCTGACTCATTTCCCTCGAATCTAGGCTGTGGTTGTTTGTAACTTGTGGAAACAATAGGATGGAATGTTCTAGTAGGTAACGGAATGTGTTGTCAACAGCCTTCCTTGGTTCCCAGAAAAGCAGCCTCAGCCCTTGAGGGTTCCCAGCAAGGGGCTTGCTCGGGAGCGAGATCTCCCAGGGCTGAGACATTGTTCTTTCTGACTAGTTTTAAAACAAAACCAACCTGCAGAGCCTCCCTCTTGAGAGAACGCTGGAGAAACGGGCTGGACGGGGCAGCACTGACATTTGCCTCCACCTCCAGCATCTTGTCCGTGGGGGCAGAGGGCACATGGGGCAGGGCCCACCCGGCCACAAGGAGGGAGCCCCGAGAGGACAGATGGCGGAAGGGAGTGGGCATATGCCGAGCCATGGGGGACCCCAAAGGCAAGCCTGGAGAGACCAGAGTGACTCTTCTTTCTGCAAGTGTGACCTGTGGTTCCAGAAGACTGCACAAGCTTGGTGGCTCTGGGAAAGCCAACAGATGGCATCTGCAGGGGAAGGAGACTGTCCCAGAGAGCCCTCCCCACCTGCCCCTCCTTGCTGGCCCTCCCCGGGCAACCTCGCTGACCTTTCCTGGCTGGGATCCCTCAGATGCAGTGCATTCTAGAAGGGCAGTGGATTGGGTTTATAGATGAGCAAGCCTAGTGGGATTCGGACCCAGGTCCGTCGGACCCCACTGCCCCCTGGCCCGTGGAGCAGTGGTGCCCTGGCTCATCCTGTCACCCAGGCTGCATTTTGTCCTGACTGTGAATCGGTAACTCAAGAGTTGGAGTGGAAATTTTCTTCCCTGTGAGTTCCTTCTCCTTCTGGATGACCTCATCTCCCCGGAGAAACCACTGGCCTGAGGTCCGTCCCCAGGGGCCGGGATGGTGGCCAGGCGTGTTCTCATAGGAACTCTAGGAGGGCTGGCCCTAGGAGGTGAGCCTGGGGTGGAGGCAGGGCGGGCTGCTGTGGACACCCACCGTCCCGGGGGGCTGCCTCCAGGATGACAACCTGAAAACTGCGCTCAAGTCTGCTGACTTCTGTTCCCCGAGTCAATACTGGATCAATGATCTGGAGTGGACACAGAGGCTTAGTCACAGTGGCCTGTTTATATCCCGGTGCCTGGCCTGCTTCCCAGGAGGAAGGGGGGCATGGGCAGGGCCCCCGTGGAAGGAGTGACTGCGTCAAGACATTTCCTGGCCTTGCTGCCCCATCAGAGCCCTGGTTCTCCCATGACGAGGGCCAACGGGTGGCTTTCCTTCCCCCTGAGAGGCCTGGCTGGTGTGGCATGGGTCTGCGGGAGCCATGGGCCTGCTCAGAGTGCCGTTAACAGCTGCTGGTAATCACAGGCCTTCCTCTGGCCAGGCTTTATGCCACATGTTTTCACTGCTTCTCCCATGTTGCCGTCACAATGGCCCTCCCCTTTGTGCTGCTCAGACACCTGATCATCCACTGGCTGTGTGTCTGCCAATCCCCCCGTTCTGCACATGGCGATTGAGCACCTTCCCAGGCCCCCCGTTCTGCACATGGCCATTGAGCACCTTCCTGGGCCCCCTGTTCTGCACATGGCCATTGAGCACCTTCCCGGGCCCCCCGTTCTGCACATGCTCATTGTCACCTTCCCGGGCCTGAGTGAGGCTTACAAGGACGGGAGCCTGCCAGGTCGCCAGCAGGAGGCAGAACCGGGCCTCCAGTCCCAGCAGGCCTGGGTCCAGCACTGCTCCCCAGCCTCCTGGGCCCAAACCAGGAACTCGGACTTGGAAAGGCACCTTCCCACTTGGCAACAGGCAGCCTGGGATGGGCCCTGATAAGCAACCCCATCCATGTGTGTCCACGAGTGGGCTGGGGGAGGCGGCAGGTGTTTCCAGGTGGTGAGGTGTGGCGGGCAGTCCCTGACGGCCATGCTGGCTCTGCTGCTCCCCCAGGTCAAAGAGATCCTGACGGCTCTGGGCTTGTTGTCTTGTGCCAACACACGGACTGGGAGCCTCTCGGGCGGCCAGCGGAAGCGCCTGGCCATCGCCCTGGAGCTGGTGAACAACCCCCCCGTCATGTTCTTTGATGAGCCCACCAGGTAATCAAGAGCAGCGGAGGGAAGAGCCCTGCCCTCTCCACCAGCAGGGGCCCCTGGAGTTGCCTCCAAAGGGGGAGGCATGTGCTCTGCCTACCCATCTTTTTCTCCTGTCCTGGGGTCCCGGGGAGCAGAGGCCTGACTTCCTACCCTCTCCCTGTCTGACTCTAGAAGACATGACAGGCTCAGACCTGTAGGATGGACCTCCCCATAGTGCTGTGAATATGGGGTATGGTTTGGGGGGTTCCACAGGCATCTCACGGTGCCCCTTGCCTTGCAGTGGGCTGGACAGTGCCTCCTGCTTCCAGGTGGTCTCCCTGATGAAAGGGCTGGCTCAAGGAGGGAGGTCCATCATCTGTACCATCCACCAGCCCAGTGCCAAGCTCTTCGAACTCTTCGACCAGGTATGTGCGGTGATAGCCCAGGTGATGCCAAATCCCAGGGACTCACAGCTTCCTGTCAGTTCCTGGGGGTGTCTTCATTTTTGAGTTGCCTTAAGTGTTATGTTTCACCAGACTCTGGAGTCATAAGTGGCTAAGGTGGCAGGGCGGGAGGGTAGAAAGAGCTGACCAGTGTTCTCCCTCTGGGGAGGAGGGGTCTGACATTGCGAAAGCTTCATTTTCCACCCCCACCCCTGTAACAATGGGGGAACACCTGTTTTACAGAATTGAATGGCAGGTTATCATATGTGTACAATATCATTTCTTTTATAAATCATAGGTTTTGACATTATAAGCAAAAAAAAAAAAAAAAGGCCCAGGGATGAAATGTGTACAGCTTCAAAATCTTTCCTAGCAGGTGGTTGGTGTGAGGGTGAAGAAAAGCAAAATAATAAAGTAAGGCCTGTCCATATGATATCCTCCCTGACTTAAAGTTCCCTTTGAACTTTAACATTTTGGGGAGGTAACGTAAAGCTCTCCTGAAAGAAGGAGAAATTGACTGATGGATGGGTGCATGGGTAGGTGGGTGGGTGGATGGATGGATAAATAGAAGGTTGAATGGGTGGTGGATGGATGGGTAGATAGGTGGGTGGACGGATGGATGGAGGGTTGATGGGTAATGGATGGATGGGTGGATGGAGAGAAGGTTGAATGGATAGTGGTTGGATGGATGGATGGGTGGGTGGATGGATAAATGGGAGGATGGATGGATGGGTAGATGGAAGGTTGAATGGGTGGTGGATAGATGGGTAGATGGAAGGTTGAATGGGTGATGGATGGATGGGTGGATGAGTGGGTAGGTGGGTGGATGGATGGATGGAAGGTTAAATGGGTAATGGATGGATGGGTGGATGGATAGGTAAATGGGTAGGTGGGTGGATGGATAGAAGGTTGAATGGATAGTGGTTGGATGGATGGATGGGTGGGTGGATGGATAGAAGGTTTAATGGATAGTGGTTGGATGGATGGATGGATGGGTGGGTGGATGGAAGGTTGAATGGGTGGTGGATGGATGGGTAGCTGGAAGGTTGAATGGGTGGTGGATGGATGGTGGATGTGTGGGTGGGTAGGTGGATGGGTGGAAAGATGGATGGATGGATGGGAATGTTGAATGGGTGGTGGATGGATGGATGGTTGAATGGGTAGTGGTTGGATGGATGGATGGGCGGATGGATGGATGGGTAAATGGGTGGGTGGATGGATAGAAGGTTGAATGGGTAGTGGTTGGATGGATGGATGGACAGACGGATGGATGGGTGGATAAATGGGAGGATAGATGGATGAGTAGATGGAAGGTTGAATGGGTGGTGGGTGGATGGGTGGATGCGTGGATAAATGGGAGGGTGGATGGATGTGTAAATGGATGGGTAGGTGGGTAGACAGAAGGTTGAATGGGTGATGGATGGAGGGCTGGATGGATTGGCAGCTCCTGTTGCTTTACAAAGGAGGACAAGGTTGATGTTCCTCTCCTTACTTTTTTCTAGCTTTATGTCCTCAGTCAAGGACAATGTGTGTACCGGGGAAAAGTCTCAAATCTTGTACCGTATTTGAGGGATTTAGGTCTGAACTGCCCAACCTACCACAACCCAGCTGATTTTGGTAAGTAGAGCCTTAACCAGCTGGAGGGGAAAGAAAGGGGCTCTTTTCCACTCTCGGTGGGTTTCTGCTTTTACCCAAAGCCCCCAAATCTGGAATTCCTTGAATATTCCACACATGGCTCAACTGCCATCCTGTGGTGAAGCTTTCAAGAACAGATAAGAGGTTTTCTTTCCTCCAGAGATCTGGGAACTAGAATAAGGATGTTGTTGTTAGGAGCCATTTTCCCCATTTTGCTGTGTTAGATTTCTGATTTAAAGGAAGGTATTTCTGAAAATAAACAACCTTTAAAAATAAAAAAATGACCCTCTTACATTGATTAACCAAGTTAAAATGCGGATTTAAATTTCCACCAAACATAACAAAAAAGGTGAAGCTCAGAGTCCAGAGACCAAGTTGATGGTCTGAGCTCCTTCTCCTGAGTTGAAGGTCCCGAGGTTGGCAGCAAACTATGCTGTGTCCTTGACATGTAGAAGCCCACCCCTGCATGCTGGTGTTGCTCCCAGGTACCTCCCCTGGCCATGCCCTCTAGGGTGTTGATGCTGCTGCTGCTGGCCATCACTTTCCCCCAACCACCGGGTCTCTGGGCCCAGCACCCCTCCCACACCATGCCCCACACATCTGTCAGCAAGCTTCACACCTCTCCAGGCCATGTCTCCAAAACCAAGTCTCCTCCTTCACCAGGCTCTGCAAGCCAGGGAGCCAGGAACCCCTCTTGCCTTCTCTTTCTCTCAAGCTTCATATTTACTAGGCCGCCAAGTGCTTGACACTCCCCACCCAGTCCTGTCTCCCCCCACTCCCCTGGCCCCTGTGCTGGGGTCCAGTCTTTGCCTGCACATCCTGTCTGCTCGTGGCTCTGCAAGGTTGCCCCACAAGCCGGGTGGCCTAAATCAGCAGAAATTCATCCTGTCGCAGTTCTGGGGCTGGAAGTCAAGTTGTGGGCGGGGCCGAGCTGCCTCGGAGGGCTCCAGGGGAGGGTCCTTCCTGCTCTTCCAGCTCCTGGGGGCTCCAGCGTGCCTGGGCTGGTGACTGGGCCACCCCAGGCTCTGCCTGTGTCCTCACATGGCTTTTTCCTCAGTGTCCCTGGGTGTCCTCTCTTCCTCTTGTAGGGATAGCAGTCATGGGACTCAGGGCCCACCCTAAATCCAGGATGATTTCATCTCAAGATCCATAACGAATTATATCTGCAAAGAGCGTTTTCCAAATAAGGCCACATTCTGAGGTTCCCAGTGGCCATGAATTGGGGGGGGGCATCAGCCTTTCTCATCCATGTTTTTCCCCCAAACACCTGGCCACAGCACTGCTGGGATTCTATATCTCTACATCATCATCCCCCAAATTGTGTTCCATGAGACACGGTTCCCAGGCCAGGCTCTGTCTTCTGAGAAGTGGGTCATGATGGCGAGGGGAGCACACAGTGGACAGGAACAGGCCGACAAAGAGGGGAGCCTCACCTAAAGAGAGGCTTTGGCGTGTTGCAAAGGTAGTGGATGGAGCCAAAGGTCGTCACACACCTGTTCCCTGGAGACAGAAGGTGGGCGGGGACAGGGGCTGCAGAGGAGGGGCAGAGCAGGGACATCCAGAGTCTGCAAAGAGGAGAGGACCTAGGGGGTCGGAAACTGGGCACATGGGACTGTGGGAAGGCCTCACGAAGGGGAGAGTGTACCCCTCTGGCAGCTTCTAGTCCCTCTGCGTCACCGGAGAGAGGGCCGGAGGGGAGAGGGGCCGTTTGGAGCACGGTGGAGCAGGGTGGGTGTGAGTGAGCAGGTGAGCCGGCCGTGCTGGACCCATGCGGCATCACTGATGATGACGTTCTCTTGTGGCAACATGTCCTGGTTTACGACAGGATCTAGGAGGGCTTGGCCGCCCTGGTTCAGGCTCAGGGAAAGTAAATAGCTGGTGTGGCCAGAGGGCAGCGCCAAAAAGTCGAGGCCATGGACTTTGGACTTCAGCAAGGATGTCAGTGAGGGGAGGGGCCATGGGAAGAAGGCGTGGGAGACCTCAGGCCGCGGGCCGGAAGGGGCAGCAGTCATGTGGGCTGTGAAACCAGGGGCCACGGAGAGGCCGTGGGATCCAGAGACAGGGTCAGTGGAGGACACACTCCCTGGGGACCGGGAGGTGGGGCTGAGGGTCCCAAGCTGGCTGGTGGCTCTGGGCCCCTCTCCATGGTCCTGAAGAACTGTCACTGTGCCCATCACTCTTGCCTGAGCCCATAGTGACATGAAAGCCCCCTCTGGCTCATCCCTTGGCTCCAATCCTGGGGCTTGAATGCCCAAGGCAGGCATTCAGTAACCATCACTGGGTGAATAAGTTAATAGACGTACGAGCTAGTTACCTCTCAGGCTTTCTGGCATCGCCATCTGAATTCGCATTTCTAGGATCCTGATGTGACACCTGGCCTTGCTGGGGGTTTTAGAGCTGACGAAGGGTTGGTTGTGGCATGATCGTATCCTATCATGCAGGATCCATATAATCCACTAAAAGGACTCCCGCAAGGCTCATGGCTGTGTTTTCGCAAAATGACCAAGGCCTGGGGTCACGTTAGCGACAGGTGGCTCCTCCCTGGGAGGGGGGGGGGGTGCTGGGACTGACCCGTCTGTGTGTCCCGCAGTCATGGAGGTCGCGTCCGGTGAATACGGCGATCAGAACGGCCGCCTGGTGAGAGCCGTCCGGGAGGGCATGTGTGACTCCGACCACAGGAGAGAGCCTGGGGGGGATGCCGAGGTGAACCCTTTTCTTTGGCACCGGCCCTCTGAAGAGGTAAAGCAGGCAAAACGATTGAAGGGGTGGAGAAAGGTAATGCAAAGCCCCGGCCCCCCGCGGGACAGCTGCATGCTGCGCCTTGCGCCCTGCCGCATGGGGGCTCTTGCTCAGCCAGGGGGAGCTGCGTCCTGGGCTGGCGGCTCATGACTCCCCCTTCCGGTGTGCACCCGCAGGACTCCACCTCCATGGAGGGCTGCCACAGCTTCTCAGCCAGCTGCCTCACCCAGTTCTGCATCCTCTTCAAACGGACTTTCCTCAGTATCATGAGGGATTCGGTAAGGCTGTGGGCCAACATTCTTTCAGGATAGAGGGAGCTGCAGGGTTATTTTCCGGTGTGTTCATCCTGCCTGAGCGCTCAGGCTATTTTCCCTGCATTTGCATTGGTCAGCTTTCCCTCCACGGTGCTGTCATGACAAACAGTCCCCAGTGGCTGTGACAATAAATATGTATGTCACGTTGGTGTTGTGTGTTGGCGGCTGTGGCGGGTGGTCCCGCCCCACGTGTCTCATCCTGGGACCCAGAATGGAGTCACAGCTCCTTTTCTGGAACGTGGCAAAGGGCAGCCTGTCAGAGTTCCTGCTGGGGCGGCAAACCTTGTCTTGTGCTCACTTTCCTCTGGCCAAGCACAAGTGGGAGTGTGCCCCTCTCTCAAGGAGGCCCTGGGGGCCCAGGGCGCTGGCAGGTGCACAGAGCCCCGCCGGGCAGCAGGTGGTGAGTGACTGGGAGCCGTGATCCTGTCTACCCATCATAGTGGACAACATGGCAGGCTCCCTGCCGAGGGGGGCTGAGTGCCCAGTGGGGCCTCTGGGACCTGCTTTGAATGTTGCGGGGCTTGTAGCTGCCCAGGCCAGAGCACTCCGAGGAGGGGCCTCGGGCGTATCCATTCTCTACCCCCCCAGCACTGTTTCACCTGACCCCTCCTCTGAAGGTAGACTGCCCTTCGTGCCTTCTGTGGAGCAGAGCAATTGCTTCTGTTTTAACAGCAGTAAACTGCTGTGTGTGTGTGTGTGTGTGTGTGTGCGCGCGTGCATGCGCGCGCGCGCACGAGTTGGTTTAGGGTTGGGGCTTGTTTTTCTGGAGGAGAAATCGGGGGCCAATGTCTCCAAAGCCTCAGCCCCGAGGTCTTTGCCGACCGCCATGCACGTCAGCGAGAACCGTGTCTGCCCCCCAGGTCCTGACGCACCTGCGGATCACATCTCACATTGGAATCGGCCTCCTTATCGGCCTCCTGTACCTGGGGATTGGGAACGAAGCCAAGAAGGTCCTGAGTAACTCTGGCTTCCTCTTCTTTTCCATGCTGTTCCTCATGTTCGCCGCCCTCATGCCCACTGTTCTCACGTGTGAGTGCCTGACCCTACACCCGCCCACCAATGGGGGACCGAGGTCTTGGCTCGGCCAATAGATGAGGTTCTGACACAGAACGTCATGGTTTTTTGAAGTATCATTTTTTTGTTGACAGGGGCTATCATATTTTCTCTTAGACAAGAAAATACATACCATGTTTAAGCCAAAGGAATTAATCACTAATGGAGAAACCATGAGCATTGTGGAAGGCTGACAAGAGAGAGATTTCTAAAAATTTTTCTAATCAGGAACACCTTAAATCTTACTGCTTACCTGTTACCTCACTCACTTATTAAGCCAGCCTGCTGTGGCCACATTTGTGTGTGGATAAAGCTATTCTAGAGGGATTTCCATGCAGTTCCAGATGGTTTGCAGAGCATGCTGCCCTTGCTTGCTCTGGGCTGACAGTAAACTCTAGCATAAAACTTGCCCCAATGTCGCCTCCCTAAATGGCCTTGCATGCTCAAGACCAGCTTAGGGATTCTTGCCCATGGAAGGAATCGCACTGGTTAGTGCTGAGCTTAGCAGGAAATCCTTGTGCGAATCACTACCATAATGCTCAGTATCCGAGTAGATGTTCTCCGCACTTCGATTATCCGCCCAGTGACCCTTCGGGTTATAAATATGGTCGGCAGTTTTCCCGGACCGGTGAATTGTTCCGTATGTCCTAGCTCCGTCTCTGAGAGCCGCTCACATGGCAGGTGGGCATCGTGGCCTCCAGCTCAGCACACGCGCGCCTGCGCAGATACCCGGCTGGTGGGCTGTGTCTGCCTGACCCCTTTGCCCTCCTTCTGTCTCCTAGTTCCCCTGGAGATGGGAGTATTTCTTCGGGAACACCTGAATTATTGGTACAGCCTGAAGGCCTACTACCTAGCCAAGACCATGGCCGACGTGCCTTTCCAGGTGTGTTAGTGAAGGGGCAAGAATTCTCCATCATTCTCTGTAGAAGGGGCGGGAGACACCCATGTCCGTGAGGGGTGACGGGCCCTGTGCTTGCAGATCATGTTCCCAGTGGCCTACTGCAGCATCGTGTACTGGATGACGTCACAGCCGTCCGACGCCGTGAGGTTCGTGCTGTTCGCCGCGCTGGGCACCATGACGTCCCTGGTGGCACAGTCCCTGGGTCTGCTCATCGGAGCCGCATCCACATCCCTGCAGGTACCAACTGAGGACACAGCACGGGGCGAGTGGAGGGGCTCCCTTCTCCACCTGGGCCAGTGCGGCCAGGGCCCCTCCTCCCTAAAACGCCGCCTCCTAATTCTGCCCTGACTTCCTAGATAGGCTTCAGCAGGTCGCTGCCCTGGGAAGGAACCGCACCGTGGTGGCTGGTCAGGGTTGGCACACTGACAACAGCCGGTGCCCGTGGCCTTCATGCCTGCCAGGAGCTGTTCCCAGTGCTGCCCACATCATAGCTCATTGCTCCCCGGCACCCCACAAGCTAGGGTGGTGCTATCCCCATTCCATAGTGGGGGAGACTGAGGCCCAGAGAGGCAACGTGATCTGGTCAGGGTCGTGTCGCTGGCTCCGAGTCCAAGCTCTCAACGCCTATGTTTTGTTGCCTCTGGGGGATCTGCTCCGCCATCCCGTGGCCCTCCAATGGCAGCCTGCGCCCCTACCCTGCCCCAGGGCTTCACCTGCCCCCCCAACCTGCCAACCCCCATATGTGCGGCGGCTTCAGGGTGCCCAGGTCAGCTCTGTCCCCCAACACAAAGCCACAACTCCGGTGAATCGTGTGCCCCCCAGACCTCCCATCACATGCCCTCCCCCATCGCTGCGTGTGATGGACTCCCTGTTTCCGTCTTCAGAGCCCCCTGCCAGTGACCACCTAGCCTCCAGGGCGGGCCCCTCTTCCCTGGATAAACATAGTGATGGCGTGCATGGGGTGCGTCGGGCAGCCGTGGAAAGCACTCGGCCCCACCAGCCGCCGCGAGTGCACAGGGATCGGCGCTCCTTGCCCCTTCCTCCCTTGGACGTGGCAGCAGCCCCTGGCTGTCCACTCCTCCGGAGGCTGTGCTGCAGCCTCATTGCTGTTCCCCTTGGTCCCTGCCTCCCGCAGGAGGCTCTCTCTCTTCGCCGCCCCTCAGCGGGGGCCCACTGCTCTCTGCGAGGAGACGGGCTGCAGGCTGGAAGACAGGGGCTCTGAGTGCCGTCCCGGCTTTGTGTGACCGGCCGGGAGCCCTGGCCCTTTCCCAGCTGCTGGTGACTCTTCCCAGACGCGTGGGATGTGGCCTCCGGGGTCACCTGAGGAAACTGGGTGGGATTCCCGCCTGCTGCCCCTGAGCACGTCCTCTGTGCGCCCCCCAGGTGGCGACCTTCGTGGGACCCGTGACGGCCATCCCTGTGCTCCTCTTCTCGGGGTTCTTCGTCAGCTTCGACACGATCCCGGCCTACCTGCAGTGGATGTCGTATATCTCCTACGTCAGGTAGCGTGGGTGGGGGCCCTGACCGCTCAGCAGCTCTGTGTGGGCCGAGGGAAGGGACCAAAGCCACTTCCTAGCCACCAGCCAAATGCCAGGATGATGCTGGCACCATGAATCCGAGACTATTGATGCCTTTCACTTTTTCCCAAGTCTGGTGTGTGCACACCCTCCCGAACACACACACACGCACGCACACACAGGCACGCTCGCATGCTTGCACACACAAGGATAAAATAAATACTAGCGATTTATGCCTTGAAGAAGCCGCGGCGGACCCCCGTCTTCTGCCCGTTTTGGAGGACTGCCGTGGGCGGTGTGTTTCCATCTTACGAACCTCGTCCCTCTCTGGAATGAACAGTGGTCATAACAAGGTTCTGCCTCTGTGTAAATCCGGTGGAAACCAAGTCCTGTTTTAAACATCCTGATATCTTTGAACAAGAGCGTCCTGGCCCCCGGGCGCCACAGCGCTCGGACCCCATTCTCTCTGCTCTGGGTCCTGGCGCCTCGGCCTCACCGGGCAGCGTCCATCTTCAGTGCTCTGCTCCCCCAGCCGTAGCAATCCCACGTGACACGCAAGATCCAAAGTTGGGAACAAGCTTTCTTTTTCTAGAATGTCAGTTCAGACCCAGATGTATTGTTCAGGAAAACAAAATCAAAACAAAGCACCCGCACAGAGTTTCAGCAATCCGTGTGTGCTCCAACGCCAAGAAATCAGAAACCCACGTCTTTCTTCTCAAAATTGGTATTTTTGTTCTGACGCTGTAGGGCTGCACCGGAATGAGAAAGGGTGCAGAAGGGTTTTATTGAAACGCTCTATGGTCCTTCGAAGGCTATCAGAGCCTTTATTATATCCAACTGTTAAAAAATATGTTATATCAGGCGATCAAAGAGCCTTCCAATTCGTTTCCCCCACTGAACAAATACCCACTCTTCGTTCAGTTTGGTTTTGTGGGTAGAGGCTCTGGAGGAAACAAAATTTGGGAAAACCTTAGCCAAGCCATTGGATGTGTTTGTCTTGGGAGGCTAGGAAGTATTTCCGTGAAGACGGGTCTCGGGGAGGGAGGGTGGCCGCACTGCGGATCATGGACAGGGGCACCCTGTTTCCCTCGGCAAATGGAGGCGGGCGCAAGAGCGTGGGGTCCCCTGGCCATGGGGAGGGCCTTGCTCACGGCCGGCGCCTTCCTCCCCAGATACGGGTTTGAAGGGGTCATCCTGTCCATCTACGGGCTGGACCGAGAGGACCTGCACTGTGGCATCGATGAGACATGCCACTTCCAGAAGTCGGAGGCCATCCTGAGGGAGCTGGACGTGGAGGACGCCAAGCTCTACCTGGACTTCATCGTTCTGGGTATTTTCTTCATCTCCCTGCGCCTCATCGCCTATTTCGTCCTGAGATACAAAATCCGGGCAGAGAGGTAAAAACACCAGAGTGCCAGGAGACACGGACGTAGACATCGCGGCCCAGGACCCCTTGTAGAGCCGCAGAGACCGCTGCCGCCCAGACCCCGGCAGCATGCTCGGGCCGCGGGCATCGTGCTGCCCGTCCGCGCCCAGCCAGCTCGGCGCCTCTCTCCATCTCCCTTTCTGGCTTCACCTGGGAAGAAGGTGTAGAAAGGCGTCACATCCTTGTGCAGAATTTAACACGGCGGCGGCCGGGCACGCAGGAGTGGGCAGCAGAGGGGCGGCCGGGAAGCTGGGGGTGGCCCCGTCTCAGGACTGTCACTGTTGTCCTGCGGTTTTGCCTCCTTCTCCAGGGAGAAGTCAATTTCCAAGCCAAAAGCCGATAACTCTCATTCATTTTAAGAAACTGTATCTTTTTAGTACTTGTTAAAGGAAATTATTCAGGGTAAATAACACACTTTGCTTAGAGACACGAGGGGCTTAACTGAGGCGCGGAGCTGGTCTCGTTTTCAGGCAGACCTTGGGAAAGGCGTGGGCGCGGTGCCCTGGCAGAGAGAAGGCTCTGGGGCAGCACGCATTCCGAAAAGTCATACGGAAAGCTGGAGGGTGACATAGGCCAACCTTCCCAAAGTCTTTTCTCCCCCCCACCCCATGCTGCTTATTTTAAGCAAAAAATATGTTTATTTCTTCCTAACTTTCTGAACATCTTAATTTCGCCTAAAAAGTGTCTAGAAGATGAGCCTTGTTGATTTTTTGCACACATGTCCCTCTCCTCACGTATCACATCGACTACCTCCGCGGGAGCTGGGAGAGCTTGGGGGGCAGTAAAGCCAGGGGGGCCGGGGAGGGAGCCGCCAGCGGCGGGGAGGGGGCGCACCCAAACCTCACGGCCTCCGAGGCGTCGCAGGCAATGGGCACAGTCCAAGTGGCCCTGGCTCCTGTGGCTCGGTCAGACGGCGCGCAGTGTCACGGGCAAGGCCACCTCCCGAGCCATGCGTCTGTGACATCCCTGCCTTCTCCGTGCTGGGCCCCTGTAGATGTCACAGACCAGAAGCTCCTTCTTCCCAGCGACGGAATCACAGAACGAAATCCCTGCAGGGCAGGAGCGGCGGGCACATCTGTGGGGTGAACGGCCTCTGGCTTGGCACTGGCCCCTGGGGCGCCTACCAGCTGTCAGAGGCAGTGCGACTGCAGGGGGAGGTCAGAGGAGGCCAAGGGGGGAAACGGAGTTGTTCCCCTCTTGGAATCTCACTGCCCAGGGGCTGGGGTCTCCCAGAGATGGACTGTTTTCTGCGCATGTTCATGCCCTGTCTGTACCTGTCTCCTCTGTGAACAACAGCGCTGCGTGATCTCCAAGGCCGCTGTCAGCTCGAAAGGGGTCTTTGACTCCTCAGTGCTGTTCCCAAAGCTTCTATTTCCCACTTTAAGAGAATGGAAAGAGTTTGATTTTTACTCACATACAGATTTGACTTGCAGATGCTTAGCAATCCCTTTTTCAGCCTCCCATCCTTTGTAGTAAACACACTGGAGCGTATTCAACTGTAACTGAGTTTTGCTGTTCTGTACAAATGTGGCATTACCTTCCAGATTAGGTCATTTACCCAGGATCTAACTTAGGCTTTATAAAGAGTCTTCACTGAGTTTCAAGATAGAGTTGCCTGCAAGATGTCACGGGTAGGAAGACCCACCTAGGAACAGCCTGGTAAAATAGAGGGAGGGGCGAGGAGATCGATGTGATCACAGCAGGTGCGGTCAGTACTTAAAGACCTCTTTCCCTCTGTGACCCTGCCAAAGACCAGCTAGCCTGGAACCATGCTGCAGGGCTGAGGCCACCCTCCCCCGCCCCCCACCAGGCAGCTCATGTTGTGTGCCCTGAGCCCACCGTGCCACGGCTCAGCCACTTGGGAAGGAAACAGTGAGATCCCTCGAGATTGAAAATCTGGTTTCCAAGTCTACCTGTGCCCTCAGAAGGGATCATTTCCCCAGGAGTTCATGTTGCCCACATTTCAATTTTCCACTGTTCACAAATTACATTCATCCCCTTAATAGATGAGGAACTGAGTCAGGGGCTGATATTGGGGGACGTGAGTGCTGTCGGCTGCTTCAAGGGAAACACATACGCAAAGTAATACGGGAATTTTTGAAGGGCGCTAACTGGTGTGTAGCGAGTGTGCCGAGTCGCCAGGCAGGAAGATCCGCTTAGAAAGACATAAGTCCAGGAGCCGAGCAAGGCTCTGTCTGCCCTGGGATGCCGCCCTTCCCCTTTGTGGGCAAGCGCCCCCTGCTGGAGCCTTCTCTTACAAACCCTTGGCATCACTGATGCAAAGGGTGTGGTCTGCATCTTCAGGTCCTTAGATAAAACATCTTATTCCAATGACCGAAGATAACGTCCAAACAACTTACTGATTTGTTTTTTTTAAATCCTGTGGTTAAGAGGTAGGTGACCATGTCTTTCACACATGGGGACTGAAAGCAGACCAGCTTGCCAGAGTTCATTCTCACACAGAATTTCTGACTGTAATGCCCCAACTATTCTTTTCATCTTGGACTGTGATTCTTCTTTTAGAAGAAAGAATTACATCTTGCATAAAAGATGTGCAGCCTCTCCCGTGTTTGTGAGTACAGGCGAAAGTGGAAGTCCAAAGAATATCACTTCTAAGTGACATTTGTCAGGAGTGAAGGGGGGAGCTGGGATTCTGCCCACTGCCCACTACTCACTACCCACTGCTCCTGCACCTGCTCCTGCTCCTGCTCCTGTTCCTGCTCCTGCTCCTGCACCTGCACCTGCACCTGCTCCTGCTCCTGCTCCTGGACCTGCTCCTGCTCCTGTTCCTCCTCCTGCACCTGCACCTGCTCCTGTTCCTGCTCCTGCACCTGCACCTGCTCCTGCTCCTGCACCTGCTCCTGCTCCTGCACCTGCACCTGCTCCTGCTCCTGCTCCTGCTCCTGCACCTGCTCCTGCACCTGCACTTACACCTGCACCTGCTCCTGTTCCTGCTCCTGCACCTGCACCTGCTCCTGCTCCTGCACCTGCACCTGCTCCTGCTCCTGCACCTGCTCCTGCAACTGCTCCTGTTCCTGCACCTACTTCTGTTTCTGCTCCTGCCCCTGCTCCAGCTGCAGGGCCTGGGCTCTGGCGCCAGCCCCACCTGCGCCCACATTCAGAGCACTTTGTGCCTCCCTTGCTCCGCCCTCACTGAGTATTAGCCGGAGAGGTCAGTTCTTGAAAAGGTCCTGCATGGGGGCTGTGGGAAGAAACCCATGTAAACAGTTTACAGAAAAGATGCTAGAGTCTGCTGAAGTCACCTGGGGTGAGGGGCCTTCCGGGCCAGGAAACAGAACCTAAGCTTTTAGATAAAAGCCCATCCTAGAGACCCACAGAGAGGCCATGTTCCCACCCTGAGAAGGGCACTACCAGGAGGTCAAGGACAGGTGGAGTCACCTTCGGTTGTTTTGCTGAGAGAGGAACAGGCTGAGCCCCAGTGCCCTGAGCATCTTTCCCTGCTAGGGTGTCCCGGGTCCTGCACTGGGAGCTGCGCTGGCCCTCTGTTCATCCCCTAACTCAGCAAACATGGCCATTGGAGCTCTGCACGAGCTCGGTACTGTCCCAGGCGCTGGGGGCCTGGGGGGAGGGAACCCAGATGTGGCTTGGCCTCCAGTGTGGCAGGTGAGAGGGATGTGTTCATTCTGCAGATACAGAACATGGGGCTGGGGGAGGGCAGGTGAGGTCCCAGGTCCCACACCAGGAAAGAGCGCAGTTGACATATGAGCCACGGTCTGACCCCAGAGCCTTCTGTTTTGTTTTGTTTTGCCATATTGCCTCCTGTTTGTAATGCCCAAATACACATGAAAATACTTTGTAAGGCATGAAGCGCAGTGCTAGTTTAGTGGCAACTCATTATGGACTTGCTGTCACCACACAGAATGGGAGGGTGGCCCGTGCCCCTGCCCCCCATCGCCTGGCATGGGGGTGTCCCTATGGGCCTGGAGGCTGAGCTGACTCCTGTCTCGTGGGGAGAGGGCTTCCTCTGCCCTTGCCTGGTCTTGGCTTCTTCTTTTTTTTTTTTTTTTTAAAGATTTTATTTACTTGACAGAGAGAGACACAGTGAGAGAGGGAACACAAGCAGGGGGAGCAGGAGAGGGAGAAGCAGGCTTCCCGCCGAGCAGGAATCCCGATGCGGGGCTCGAACCCAGGACCCCGGGATCATGACCCGAGCCGAAGGCAGACGCCCAACGACTGCCACCCAGGTGCCCTGGTCTTGGCTTCTTAACGCAGCATACCTGAGGACTAGCTCGGGCGAGAGAGGGCTGGGGTGTGTGTGTGTGTGTGTGTGTGTGTGCGCGCGCGCACATGCGCGCGCACATGCAGGCTTGCTCCAGGTGTGGGCTCTCATAGTATTATTCTGTGGTCTTTGCTTTGTCTCTAAATGCTCCATCATCCTTTAGTCCCAGAAGGAAAGACAAAATTCCCTCACTTCATGTCTGCCGTGCAGATGGTGACGAGTGTAGTCAAAACCCAGAGGTTTTCATCCAATGCCAGGTAAAGTGGAATGTGACAAAGGGTAAAACCGAACCCCCAAGACGGACAGGTGCAGAGTGTGTGAATATAAAGTTAGACACCTATAGGAAATAAAGACTGCTAATAAAATATTTTATATAAAACTTTTTATTTGTGTTCAGTGTTAAATGCTTCAAATTCAAACTGATTTGCTTAAGTCTTACTAGGCAAAATGGGTTTTTAAGTTGCATTTTGAATATGTTTGTTGTACATCTAGTGAGAGTTGCGCGTTATTACTCAGTGTTCCGGTCTACCCCCGCGATGGTACACAGTCACCTTCCTCTCTTGGACACCTTCATGTTTCATGGGGGACTGTCTTCAAGTTTTGTGCTTTCCCTCTGTTCTCCCAGACTCCTCCTGCCTTGTTAATGTTGGCCACAACCAAAAATTGCCAAGACCCCCTTGTGCTGAGGCCCGAGCCTTCCCTTTCCATCCCTGCTGTCCGCTCTGCCTTAGAGGGGTCTCAGGGGAGACAGGCACTGGTGGCGATTCCTCAGAGGGACATCCCTCGCCCGTTGCTCTCGTGTTTCTGGAAACCCGCCTCTCTGGCCTGGTCTCTGTAGAGGCTGCGATGGGGAAAGCACGTCCTCCCAAGGTTGAGCCCCCACAGTGAACGTGAGCAGGACCGCAAA